TGAGCAAACAGCGCCCCTATTGGACAGGACGGCACACAGGCTGGTGTATGAGCAAACAGTGCCCCTATTGGACAGTCAGAGCAGGGTTAGAAGATGGATGTAAATGTTGACAGTTTCGTCTGATACAGTCACATACTAACCGACGGGGAAAGTCAACAAGATAAATCGACACAATGTCAGCCAGGTTTTACTCTGCGTCACATGCTTTAATATTAAAGATATCCCAATATTTACATTGCTGCAACCTTCAATAGATCAAAGATCAGGTCAACTAAACAAACGCAAAAGGTGTCTCGAGGTCTGAATAATATTAAATTAGAAAGTTTAAGGTGTAAGTAAGTATTTCTAAACCTAGGAAGACACGAACAAGACTTTTTAAATCAGTCAACATGGTCAAAGTCAGCAAAATGGTATTATTAAGGCTCAACAGTGCAGACAGGATTTTGAGCCAAATATTACAATTCCCAGGAAGGGTTTTTAAAAAAAGTAATACTCTGATGATTTTCCCTGCATTTTAAACTTTAACAGCATGGCCACTAAAACTGGTCTGCCTGGTTATCAGATTTGCCATCAATTGAATACATTTCTAGCATTGAGAACCAAACCAAATTTAAAGAACATAACAAATTACTCTTATCTTGTCTGTTGAGCAGCTCAAATCCTGTTCAGAGCAAGCAACTGAGCTAAACTAAACTAATCTTGGTTGAAAAACATTTACCCCCCCCCCTCCCCCTTATGTAAATGTCAAATATTTGGAAAAGGATTTATTTTATTTTTTTACACAATGGTAATGACCTTTAAAATAAACATTTTCAAATTCAAATCTACCCTCAGATGGTGACTGATCATATCGTCTTTAACCTGGCAAACGTTTTCCCTTAAGAACCCAGACTTTCAGAGCCCTTTGTCATAGATTCAATTTGATGCATTCCCTCTTACTTTGGCCCCCACCATAACATAACTTTAAAAAAACAGCAATGGCTTCACACACTCCAGAGTAAATCTACAAGGAAGCAAGAGAAGAGTATAGGAACATATTTTATTCCAATTTAAAACATTTAAAGGAGAAGGCTATGTAAAAATCATTTTCATGTTTGAATGAGTTTCAGGCAACAGTGGTTGAAATGAAACATACAAAAAGAGAAATATGGCTAAAATACTGTAAATCAATAACCATTTTGAACCCTTATCTGGAGGGTGTTGCATGAATAGAGTATCTCACCCACCCACTCCCTAACCCCAACCTGACAAACACATGCAATTAAAATGACACTTATCTTAAAAACAGCAGTTTATTATTAATCTTAAATATAGAATAAAACTGTCCTTTCTTTTTTTTATAATTCTTTTTGTTAATTAATCACATACTTAATGTTTGTTTTAAAAAGTGGACCACAGAACTCACAGGTCCTCTGATTTTTCACAACATTGGCACTTGATAAGAATCTGGCTTTACAAAGAAAGGGGATTGGCACACTCATTGTACAGAATTTACATTTGGTATACTTAAGAAGAAAATTAAGCAAAAAAAAAAAAAGAAAAGAAAAAAAAGAATACATTACTTTCAATTTGTACACCACTACACAAAGTTGAATTTTTTTCTCTTTTAAATAAAGTCTGCCATCTTTAGTGGTCCTACATACGATTGTTAAAGATGTGTGAACCCGACAAAAGAAAGCAGAACAAGAAGCAAAGATCACTGGATGCCCATCGCTATGACCAGAATGGATCTGAAGCTTTAGCAATAGTGTACAAACACACACACACACACGCACGCACGCACACCTTATAGTACCAACACTTGTGTGGATGTCTACGTTGCATGAATGCAGGCCTGATGCAGCGGTGCAGTTTTTAGAGCCGTCCACCCACCGGGTCTGCAGTCTGTTCAAATAAAAGCATTTTAAAAGAAACATTTTTAAAAAACGACTGGCAGAGGTATGCACGCAGGGTGTTCATTCACTTCCCCCATCTGCTGATTTAACCTCCAAAATATGCCCACTTCTGTACCTTTAGCTGGCAAATCTTCGAAAAATACTTTTAATACTGAGGTCCGTCCCTCCCCCAAAAGAAGTTAGTGAAATATCGCCCTGCACAATTTGATTAAGGATCACCTTAATAGCCTGTACCTTAGTGTTGGGCAGGGCCGCGACACAATATTGACTTCTTCTCCATCGGCTGAGTGTGTGACAGGGGGTGTAGTACAGGGAACGGGGCGGGGGGGCTGCACGAGCTATTTAGAACGCAATCGATACACAGAATGAGGCAAAAAACAGCAGAGAAAAAAGGTCAAAACTCAGCAGATCCTGCACCTGACGCAGCTCAAATTCCTGGAAGTGCGGCCATGTGACTTTACGCTGACTCTGCACTTCGGGGAGGCGTAAACCTAAAGTCAAAAAGTAAAATAAACAATAAATGATGGGGTTTTTTTCTTTAAAATAAGGCGACGCCCTCATCCTGACATTGCTATTCTCATCATTCAGAAGTCGACTGGAGTCAATTAGCAAATCCGCTCGTAAAAAAGTAATTAAATAAAAAAAAAAGAGGTGTCTTTTAGGTGGTCGACCACAATTCTCACGTTATTCCGTTTCTAGCTCCGGTCTGTCAGCTTATTAACGTCCCCGAAAGTGTGAAAAGCATGGTAAGGAACAAAACCAAACAAAAGGAAAGACGGGATGAAGGCCTTCAGATATTGGCTGTAGCACCACAGAACAAACACACAACCGCTAACCCTAACCCCCCCCCTTTCGTTTAGTCAGATCTCCGCCACATTCTAGATTTCAAGAAAGAAAATGATGGGAAAGCGGGGGCCGTCGGAAGGGGCTGCGGGGTGGAAGGGTGTGACGAGGGACACTAAATGTGCCGCTGCACATCTGGGAAGCCCCTCACCTCCTAACAGTGGCCGAGGACTCTCCTCTGAAGGCAAAAAAAAGAAGGAAAAAGTGAACGGAGAGCCAGGCTGGGAGCAGATTTCCCACAGGAGCATCACCCGAGCCCCCCCAACACTCCATTAAGACCCCCTCCCCACCCCCAACCCTGGTAAATCACTAGATCTTTTGCTCTATATCACCCATAGAGTCCTCTCATTTCGACTTGAAGCTGCTAAAAGTAGCCCTTGTGATGAAAAAGTTACCTGAATTACAT